ATTTCGATGTCTACAAACTTCTTTGGAAAATGCTTTGTGCAACAATCATTAACCATACATGGAGGTTGTGGGCGGACATTCCCGCAAGGGCCGTGCATCATATGATCTCTAACGATAGCATAGTATAATGGATCGGTGGCCTCATCCAGTATTTCGGCAGATATTATTTTGTCTATGCCATCAGTGGTCTGAATTTTGTGTTCTTTGGCCAGGAATATCAAGATATGGGCATGTGGAAGTCCACGTATTTGGAATTCAATCGTGTATATAGCTGCACAAAAAAAATAATATATATATATATATATATATATATATATATCCTGGTAAAAAAAATACAATGAACACAAAAAGATTATAAATTCAAATAAATTAAATTAAAAAATATTAAGTACCTGCATTCACGTCACCAAACATCTTGTTATGTTGGACATCCCTCATCAAAGCATCCAACTTAGCCGTAAATACCCGGCATATTATATCAGGACGATCCTCATCTAAACAAAAATAAAATAATAAGATAAAATACATATATGTGTAATAAATAATTTGTTTGTGACAAATATTTGAACAATCATCTCTCTTTGAATTCCATAATTTCCGGCACATCAAATTCAGCAATCATTTTGGTTGCATCGTAAGCATTCACAATTCTCAAAACCCTATAATATGAGTCATTAATATTAAGTTATAGATGCACAAAAAGAGACATTAAATCGTATTTAAATTAATTATAAATATATACTATCATTCATGGATTTCGCTCGGCACATTTGAAGTATTATAACTTTTTCTTCGGCCGCAGTAGAATTCTTCATTGCCTCAAGTAACACATCCACATAGTCCTCCCATAAGGTGCAAATCAATTGGCAGCCGCTAAAATAATTAAAAATAGAACAATTACATAAAAATTATATAATATTTAGATATTGAAGCTTTCGGGTTCTGAGAACGATAACTCAGCTCATTAATATTATTATTCGGTAATTTAAACTTACTGAATATCCTCAAGAAGAATATCAATAAATCTCTTTTCTACACCTCTCGACATTGCTTTTTGTACGCTTTGAAAGAAAACCACGCGACCAATGACATCTAGAATTCAATATAAATTCACCTTTAGAAAACAATTTAGTGTAAGTAAATTCTAAATAAAATAATTATAAAGTATATAAAAGGTACCAATTAGCCTTGATGAGTCTATGTAAGATGGATCCGTTTTGAACATGTTGCGACCATTTTTCAATATGAAATTCTTTATTCCATAGGTATTTCCTTCACCATTTATCAACGGTCCAAAATTTTCAACCAAGATGTCGGGTGCGGACGCGTGAATGCGCTCGCCCTGAAAAAGAAAATTAGAAATCATTTCTTGATGTATCAAAAAAACTAGTAAAAAATAGAATATATGTCAAATAATTAATAAGAGTAGCATATAAAAATAATTTCTACCTTGACATCATGAAACACAAATTCTAAGCTCGATTCCCTATTTTTGGGATAAAACCTAATTAATCTCAAAGTTGTTGTTTTGTTTTTGTTTTTTGCAAGATAAAGTGAGATTAACAGAGTAAGAAACCATTTGTAGAAGAATTTTCTGTGGCTGAATTTTGAAAGTTTTGTGAAATGAAGTGATTGTAATTTTAAAAATGGGTTAGTATTTATAGTGTCCAAAACGTGTGCATTACTCCATGATTTTTATTGAAAATGATTGTCCCTTGGTCAAAATTATTTAATTACAAAATTTCATGATTGATGGTCACCAATAATTACAAATTCCCCCAAAAAATGAATGAGAATCTGCATTTTTATATTTGGATAGTTTGACATTTTATTTTATTTTTTTAATTTTTTCTCTATATTTTACATTAATTTCTTTAATTTCATAATTATGTTGTATATACAGATTTCCCGATTTTATGTGATATCATTAATGTTTTTTCTTTTTCTAAATTGCAGGCAGATATACAGAATTAATGAGCTGGAATATTGTATTTTTTTTATTGTATTTACTGGATTTTAAATGCAAAAATGATATATGTAATTATTTTTTGTGTATTTTATATCATTAATGTAATTTTTTTTTCCGGCAAAAATCTTGCTTAAATGCACATAATATCACCCACTAAAACTGAAATCACACTCTAAAACTGAAATTAAACTTTGAAAAAATATTTCTCATGTGATTATGTAAAGCTAATTAATGCAGGATAAATAATACATATGTAACCGATTTTGGGGGGAAGAGGGGAATAGTGTCAGGTAGGTAAAATTTATTAGGTTTAATTTATTAGGTAAAGTTAAATGATTAGCTAGCAATTATATATACTAGTATTCATCCTGTGCACATGCAAAAAAAAAAAAAAAAAAAAAATTATATATTATATGTATGCATATAATATATAATTTTATATTAGATAATGAATGTATTACATTTAAAAATTTGACTTATATGCAAATGTGTAGTGTAAATATATATTATTTAATTTAAGTATGAATATTTATATTGATGCAATAAATTTTAATGAACAATATAATTTAAAAATTTAAAGGGACCATACATTTAATTAGTTAAAAAAGTATTACAATTATTTTTATCATTGTTATTGCAATTGTCTAAGGGGTCGCATCTTATCATCTGTTTACTTTAAATGATTGGGATATGACTCTTTCTAGTTGGCACCCATGTGGCATGTGAGTTCCACAGTGTATCCTTCATTCTTTGATAAAATAAATCCCGGGGAAAGGTTGGATTTTTTTATCCCCTTTTTTGCAATGCCCATTTTTATCTTATTTTTTATCCCGTGAAGTAAACGTTGGACAACTTGTTGACGTGTAAAGTAGTTGGATTATTTTGTTTAATCCTATCAAGCAAAGTAAATGAGGCCTAAATGTTGTAAGGTGTGTAATTATGACACTCGTGTCAATTAAATAATATTAGATAAAAAACGCTTAAAAAGAAAAAAAAAATATTTTATTTTAGAAAAAGTATTTAAAAAAAATCGCAATAAAATTTTTTATAAGTATGTAACTTTCACATACTATTTAATGTAAAATTATAGTCAGTTAGTGTTAGTAGTAATATTATATAATTAGTTTAAAATTGTTATTACACTTTATTAATGTAAAATGTAACGTTTCTGCATTAATTAAAAAAATGAGCAGAAAATTATAAAGGTTTTATTAAATAGATTTTATTTAATGCATCTGCCAGCAATTATATATATATATATATAGAGAGAGAAAATTGCAATTGTAGTCCAATAACTTAGGCTGTTTCCCATTTTAGTCCACTAACTTAGGCCGATCCAAATTTAGTCCAAAAACTCCCAAAATTTAGTTAAATCAGTCCAATTGGACTAAAATTGGACTAAAATTGGACTGAAATTGACCAATCAATTGGACTGAAATTGGACTGATTTAACTAACTTTTGAGAGTTTTTGGACCAAATTTAGATCGGCCTAAGTTAGTGGACTAAATGGGAAACAACCTAAGTTTTTGGACTAACTTTTGAGAGTTTTTGGACCAAATTTGGATCGGCCTAAGTTAGTGGAATAAAATGGGAAACAACCTAAATTACTGGACTAAAATTGCAATTTTCTCTATATATATATACATTGTCTAGATTTTTAAGGCTATCATGATTGCTAGATTAGTGCATAAGTTTTCTAGATTGCTCTAGCTTTTGTGCATCAATTTTTAACATATTTCTAATTTCAAAATCTTGTAAGTTGCATATTTGTAATTTCTTCTCTTTCAAATCAAATATTATTTTCGCGTGTTAAGGAATTACATTGTTACTTACTCTACATAGTTATTTCCAAGTTATAAAATTTATTAATAAATACACAATATACAGCATTACAAAAATAAAAGGACCATGATACAAAGATAAATAACAAAAATAAGTGGAGAAATTTGTTTTGTAGAAGCTTATAAGTTTACGTTATTTCATAGAAAAATAACATACTAATAGCATTGAAAAAACAATGGTTTTAATAGAAAAAAAAAAAAAAAAAAAAAAAAAAAAAAAAAAAAACTCGATCAGCGTTAAAAAAATAATTGTAAGAGCATCTTCAATGTTGTGTGATGTTGTTATATAATAAAGTTTGACAAATGTTATAGAATACATTTTGACAAATGTAAAAAAGATAATCATATTAAAATTTGAGAAAAATCATAAGCATCCGCAATGCTAGAATAAATTTTGATAAAACTAAATAGATTGAATAAATTGACTAATGTCAATAAACTAAATGGATTTGTGAACCATGTAAGAATAAGTTTACAACTATGAAATTAAAAATTTCACTCCAATGCACAATATAGTCTAACTACAATATTATTTACTATCAAATATTAAAAATTTACTAAGAAGAACTAAAATTAATTAAATAATTAGATAGCTTTGAAGTAATAAGAAAAATTATAACTTAATTAAATGTGTTGACGTGAATTGTAATTTATCACAATAATATTTGAGCATTGAATATGCTTTAAAGTGTCTACAATCATGTCAAAGACCGGAGCTTTCACATCCTTATGTTAATGAAAAACTTCCACACACAAGATCACAAAAATTACACCGTTCAAAGTCTAGCTTTCACATCCATCTGCTCTCCCGTGATACCGACTTCTCGCCTGGGCTTTCTTCGAATTAGGATCTGATACTTTTGTGTTACTTGTTGTTGTTGTCAGTTTTTTCTAGTATCTATTCTTGTTTTTGTTTTTGCTTTCGTTTGACTCGATGTATACCATACATTACACTTGTTACATTTTTG